CGAGTTTTTGCCTTCCTCCTAGGGTTGAATCCTTCGTATGAGTCCATCAGGGTGCAGATCTTGGGTAGTAAAGACTTGCCATCAATTCAGGAGGTGTATGCCTTGGTGCAATCAGAAAAGAGTAGAAGTGTGATGAATGGTGTAGAAGGGGAGTCAGTTGCCCTAGTTGTTCGGGGAAATTCAGACACAAATGTCGGTGGTGGTTTTAAAAAAGGTGACTCGGAAAAAAACAGATGATAAGAGCAAACTTTAGTGCACTCACTGCCAGAAGACACGACACACAAGAGATACATGTTGGGATCTCCATGGAAAACCTAAATGGGCACAGGATTTGGGTAAGAAGTCAACACTTGATCAGGGCAAAACACCAGGCCAACAAAATAAAAAAAAGGTATAACTCAGCTAATATGGCGTCGACAGGGACTAGTCCTTTGGTAACTCARGAGAGGCATCCCAGTTCTGACCCTAAGGAAGATATTATCAACTCCTTTCGTGAACATTTGGAATTGTATGGTAGGACTCTCCGCCAGATGGATTCTGGTCCTACTCCCTCTACCTTGTTTGCGTCTACATCAGATAATGCTGCCACAGCCTTCCATGTGTCATCTCATACCAATGATTCTCCTTGGATTATTGACTCTGGAGCCTCAAACCACATGACCGGTAAGTCAAATTTGTTTCAGACATATAACCTTCTCTCTGGGAGAGATAAGGTATGAAGACTAGCTGATGGTTCTTTTTCTACCATAGTTGGCCGAGGTACCATACCTCTCCCACTTGGCCTTACCCTTCCTAATGTATTGCATGTCCCGAAATTACCTATTAATTTGTTGTCCTTTAGTAGTCTAACTCACTCCTTGAACTGCTCAGTCACTTTTTTTCCGTCTTCATGTGTGTTTTAGGATTTGGCCTCGAGGAAGACGATTGGTAGAGGAAGCATGGTGGATGGTCTCTACGTGTTGGAGAATAATGCTGGTCTTGTGGCTACAGAGTCCATGAGTTCATCAAGTGAAAGTCAAGCCTATTTATGGCATAGTCGTCTAGGTCATCTTTCTTTTGAGTCATTAAAAATTATGTTTCCAAAGTTGTTTGAGTCCTTGTCAGTGAGTCAGTTATAGTGTCAGACTTGTCAATTAAATAAGCATTGTAGAAGTTCTTTATCTTTGCGAAATAAAAGATCTGAATTTCCATTTCATATTGTTTATTCTGATGTTTGGGGCCTTGTTACTCTACCTACTGAGGCTGGCTATAAGTACTTCATTACCTTGATTGATGATTATTCTAGAGACACTTCGGTTTACCCTATGTGATCTCGAGATGAAGTGCCAAAAATTGTGAAAGATTTTCAACGCATGGTGTTCACTCAGTTCCAAACGGAAATCCATATCTTCCAGTCAGACAATGCGAAGGAATATTTCCATAGTGATCTCACGGAGCTTTTTGCTTTGAGTGGGTCACTTCAGTGAAACTCTTGTGCCAGGACACCCCAACAAAATGGTGTGGCTGAACGGAAGAACCGCCACCTTCTCGAAATAGCTCGTGGCTTATTAATTCATATGAATGTGCCAAAACAGTTTTGGATGGATGCAGTCATGTGTGCTACATATATCATCAATCGCAGGCCCTCTCAGCTAGTAGAGTATAAGGCCCCACATCAGCTTTTGTTCCCTATAGCCCCGTTGTCCACCATTCCGATGCGTGTTTTTGGGTATCATTGCTTTGTCCATAACTTGTCCCCTACTCGCGGTAAGCTTGATCCCCGGGCTATTCCTTGTGTTTTTCTTGGTTACCATTTATCTCAAAAGGGGTATCGCTGCTATGATCCCACCTCTCGCAAGTACTATGTCTTCATTGATGTATCCTTCTTTGAGAATCAACCTTTTTTCTCGGTTTCTCCTCAGGGGGAGAGTATGGTTGAGGAGAAACAAGCGACTCAAATTCAATTACCTCATTTACCCGATCCTCCTCCATTTTGGGTTTTTCATCGTTGCCATAAAAGCCAACAGAGTTCAAGAGCCGTGGAACCTGACACTATGCAACCAACATCATCGGATTCACCCGAGGCAGATCCATCTCATCAGCCATGTACACTTGCTCTTGTTGATATGTCTGTTCCTCTAAATGTTGATTCACATATCAATGATCTTAATATTCCTATTGCTAAGAGAATGGGTGTTAGGTCTTGTACCACTAATCATCCTATCTCTAATTTTGTGTCTTATGATCATGTTTCACCTTCATACTGTGTCTTTCTCTCTTCTGTGGACAGTGTCCCCGTTCCTAAGAATGTGGCAGAAGCTTTGTCTAAACCTGAATGGACAGATGCAATGTAGGAAGAAATTGATGATTTACACAAAAATGGCACTTGGGAGTTGGTAGACCTTCCTGAAGGGAAGGAACCAATGGATTGCAAGTGGGTGTTCACAGTGAAACACAAGGCTGATGGAACTGTTGAAAGGTACAAGGCTAGACTGGTAGCAAGAGGCTTTACACAGGTATATGGAGTGGACTATGCAGAGACTTGCTTCAGTAGCCAAGATGAACTCTATCAGGATTCTTCTTTCATTGGCAGCAAATCTTGACTGGGAACTTCACCAAATGGACATCAAAAATGCTTTCTTGAATGGTGACTTGGAAGAGGAAGTGTACATGACCCAACCACCAGGGTTCTGTGCCAAAGGCAATGAACAAAAGGTGTGCAGATTAAAAAAATCTTTATATGGGTTGAAACAATCACCTCGGGCTTGGTTTAGTAAGTTCCATTTAGCAGTTCAACTGATGGGGTTCAAACAATGCAAGTCAGATCATACTCTTTTTGTGAAAAGAGGTGAAGGTAAAATTGCAGCTCTTATTGTGCATGTGGATGATATAGTGATCACAGGAGATTGGGAGGCTGAAATACGAAAACTACAAAAATTCTTAGCCACTCAATTTGAGGTGAAAGATCTAGGCCCCTTACGTTACTTCCTTGGAATTGAAGTTG